AGATCGGGTCGGATCGGATCGGGACACGCCTCGAATGGGGCCGCATCGGCACGGGAGCGAGCTCGAATCGAGTCGACCGGGCCAGGATGCACAGCAGCGCCACGCGAGCATCGGGCCACGTCGGATGGACGGGGCATCGAGATCGAAGCGGGCAGAGCTGGCCGGAGTCGACGTCGAACGGGATCGATCAGATCGAACTGGATCCAGGCGGGGACGGTAACGGGGGATCTTGGGCTTCTGAGTTGGCCTCGCGCGCGCCCACACAGACTAGTAGAGGCACGAGGTCGACGGTAACGGAGGAGGCGGGACGAGGGCGAGAGGGGGAGCAGGCAGAGGGCAGCAGGCGGAGGGAGGAGGGCGGAGGGAGGAGGGAATTGGAGTGCAGAGCGCTGCGGAGGGAGGGCGGAGGGTGGGTGCCGGGTGGTGCAGGGCAGAGGGTGGAGGGCGGAGGGCGGTGGGTGGAGGGCGGCGGGGCGCGATGGAGGGTGCTGGCGCGGGCGGTGGTGCGGTGGGCTGTCCCGTGCTTGTCACGTGGCTGGTCCGTGGTGGTCCCATGGTTGTCCGGTGTCCCGTGGTGGTCCCGCAGTTGTCCCGTGGTTGTCCCGCGGTTGCCCCGCGGTTAACCCGTGGATGTCCCGTCTATCTATATATATATATATACACACAAACATAAAAATATTAGTTCCACGCGCGCGCGCGCTTCGCGCGCGCTCTGGTTCTAGCCCAGCCCATGGCACAAGGATGACACAGAAGACGGGGTTCGCGGGCGACTCGCTGTCGGAGAAGGGTTGAGACCGTCTCAGGCTGGTTATGAACGTCGCAGGGCTTCCTTGGACTGGCCTTGGGACAATTTAGGCGCTGCCTTGAGGGGAGCAGGTGTCTTTGGCCTTGAGGGGAGCAAGAGTCAATGCCCCAAGGTGTCCCTTGGGGCATTGACTCTTTTGACTGGCTATCTGATGAATTGTCGAAGCCGCATCTTGCTGGTCTTTGGATGTGGTCACATGTTCACGGCCTGTATGGCCGAGCACGTGCGGAAAGGGCGAGGAATGACGAAGGACGGAACAAAAACTGCACTGCCTTGATAAATAATGCACGCACTGTCACGCCGGATGGCGGAGCGCTTGCAGGAAAATCGAAGAAAGACAGAGGAAGATCGAGGAAATACGAAAAGACGGAGCACTTGCAGGAAGATCAATAGAGCTTTCGAGCCACCTCCAGCCGTCCGTCGGAATTCTGTGAGCCCCTTCGACGGACGCCTGCTGGAGATGCGGTCTTGGGCCTCTTCGGGGGGCCGTCCTGGAACCCTCTTGGGGGCTCGGGGCCCTCTCAGGGCCGTGCCGAGGCCGTCCTGGGCCCACCTTGTGCCGTCTTGGAGCCGTCCTGGGCGGCCGGAGGCCACGCAGAGCGGAGAGCACGAGAATGCCTCGGACACCTCAGGAGCAGCAGTGTGCGTTGGCTCCAGGCATCTCTCGGGGCGCGCGCCGGGGGGCTCCGCTCCTGGGGGTGGCCCGGGCACCTCTCGAGCCGAGCTGCGGCCCTCCGGAGCGCTCCTTGGTGCCCTCTTGGGCCGTCTTCGGCTCGCGTCGGTTCCTCGTATGGGCGGTCCTGGGAGTGCCCGAGGCCGTCTTGGAGGCCTCTTGGGCCGACCAGAGTCCTCTCGGAGGCCCCTTGACGTGCGAAGAACGGTATAAGATAAACTTTGTCGCTGTCGGGGGCGCCTGTCCCAGGGCGGCTGGAAAGTTTATACCCTTACGGTGGCACCGTAGGGGTATAAACTTTCCAGCCGCCCAGGGGCAGGTGTCCCCGACGGCGAAAAAGTTTATGTTATACCGTTCTTCGCTCGCTGAGCCCCGGGGAAGGGGTATCAAACAAGGGGGCGAGATAGTGGCAAGGTGCCGGGCCCCTGGGCGAGGGTCGAGGTCCGAAGCTGTCCTGTCTTCGGGGGCCCTCGTCGTCGCCGAGGCTGGACGCACCTCAGAGCGACGCTGTTTTTTTGTCCGAGGAGGTGCAGGCCGAGGACGGGGAGGGAGATGATCCAGGGGCCCAAGGACACACAAACAAACACACGCAAATAAAATGATTCCCCTTATTTTTCCATATTTTCTGGGTTTCTGTCTTCCCGCCCAATTCCCATATTTTCCCATATTTTCCTGGGAGTCGACGATTAATTGTGTCTGTGTGTTTTTTCCGCTCCTGAGAGGAGGAGGCAGAACGGGCGCGAACGAGCGCGACCAGGCTCGTGGGACGCCCCACTGCCGCCCGTGGTGAGGCCTTCTTTCGCCGACTGCCGTGAGCGCTGTACCGCTGGCAAGGGGGTGGCTGTTCGCGCCCAGATTGCGTGGATGTCTCGAGCGGTTTGCCTGCTTGGTGGCGCAGACGGCCCTGCGTCCCAAGCAGATTGCGAGGATGTCTCGAGCGCGGCGTTGGCTTGAGCACTCCACGGGGGAAGCGCCAGTGAGTGTTGCACGGGCCCGTTCACGCCAGATTGCAGGCATGTCCCGAGCGGTTTGCCTGCCTGGGCGACCGGTCGTAGCTAGCTGCCGGGTCTGGGCCTCTGGCCTCTGCAAGCTGGCCTCGGGCGGAGAGGGCAAACCCATGGCGAGCCCATGGCCAGAACCGCTCGCCGACACCTGGTCCGCCCCCTGTCCGCAAGATGCCGCAGCAGCAATCTGTGCCTCCACCGAATCTCGGTGCCACTGGGCTGGCGGACACTGCGGAGGATGAGTTGGGGTTCTCCAGCGCGATGAAAGAAGTAACAAGAGTCCTCGTAAGAGCAGGATGGGGAAAGAAGCGACAGTATCCAGGCCGCACTACTGACCTGAAGAGCCGAAGTTCGACGAATCAACTCCCAGGCACAAAGACAGCACAGGCGAGCTCAACCAGCAGAAACCGATAGATGACAAGGGAGCACTGGGCACAGATCCCAGACAGCGCAGGCGAGCTCAAGCCAGCTCAATAATCACCTGCTAAAAAAAAAATAACACAAAACCCGCCGACCCCTTGGGGTTCATCGGCGTGTGAAATGCTTCCCCCTCCCCAAACCCCTCCCTGGGGAGCCTGGTCCTGTCGATTTGGACGGCGGGGGGGTCCGCCGGGGCGCGGTCGAGGAGGAGGAAGGAGGAAGGAAGAAAGGAGGAGGAGGAAGAGGAGGAAGAAGAGGAGGATGAGGAGGAGAAAGAGGAGGAGGAGGGGGAAGAAAGGGGGGGGGCCACGGCGTAGAATGCCTTCAGCATCCGTGCCGATCCCCGACGGCTGAACCTCCGATAGGTGGCCCCCGCCAGAAGACGCGCTCCTGCCGCGGCTCGTGCCGCGCGCGCGGGCGAGGAGAAGCTGCGCGAGGGCGAGACGAGGAGGAGGAGCAGGAGGAGGAGGAGGAGGAAGAAAAGGAGGAGGAGGAGGAGGAGCAGGAGGAGGAAAATGAGGAGGAGGAGGAGGAGGAAGAGGAGGAGGAGCAGGAGAGGAGGAAGAGGAGGAGGAGGAGGAGGAGGAGGAGGAGGAGGAGCGATGTGGCGGCCGAGGCCAGGGCCAGCCTGGGCAAAAGGCTCCACGCTCCGGCGCCCCGCGCTGGTCCCGCGGGCCTGCTCCGCGGCTGCCCTGCACGGGTCCCGTGGGCGGTCCCGTGGCTGCCCCGCGGGCCGTCCTGCTGGTCGGCGGCTCGCCCAAAGGGGGCCCCAAGAGGGCCCCAAGAGGGCCCCCAGAGGGCCCCAAGAGGGCCCCAAGACGGCCCCAAGAGGGCCCCAAGACGGCCCCAAGACGGCCCCAAGAAGCCCCAAGGAGGGGCCGTCCCCTCGGCCGTCCCGCGGGCTGCCCTGCAGCTTTCCCGCGGTCCCGCGTGGCTCGTCCCGCGGGCTGCCGGCGGACGGTCCGGCGGGCTGTCCCGCGGCTGTCCCGCGGGGGCGCCGGCTGGGCGCGAGGGGGCTGTCTGGGAGCGCCCGCCGCGGGCGCCAACGGGGGGGGGGCGCTCCTCTTCGCAAGCAGGTTCTTCTCGTGCGTCAGCTTGACCTGACGCCGCCGACGACGACGACGACGACGACGACGACGACGACGACGACGACGCCGCCGCCGCCGCCGCCGCCGCCGCCGCCGCCGCCGCCGCCGCCGCGGCCGCCGCCGCCGACACACGACGACGACGGCGGCGGCGACGGAGACGGCGGCGGAGACGGCGACAACGGAGGCGACAGCGGCCGCGGCCACGGCGACGGCGACAGTGGCCGCGGCGGCGACGGCGACGAGGAGCACGACGAGACGACGACGAAGACGACAACGACGAACGACGGACGACACACGACGCACGACGCGCGGAGACGGACGACAGACGACGGACGACGGACGACGGCAACGACGGCGACGGACGACGACGACGAAGGGGGAGAGGTGAGGAGAGAGCGGGAGGAAAGAGGAGCGAGGACAAAAGCAGCAAGAAGAGAGGAGAAAGGAGGGGGCAAGGAGCAGGTAGTGGGGAAAGGATTTTATGGGGAACGGGAAAGGATGAAGGGCAAAATGGGGGGAGGAAGGGCGAGAGGGAAGGCGGAAGGGAAGGGGGGAGCGAGCGTGAAGTAGAGACCGGGGGGAGGAGGGCGAGAAACGGAAGAGGCGATGGAGGAAAATTCAAGGTGGGAGGGGGGGCAGGCAGGGAGCGGGAGAGGCAGAGGGACGAGAACAGGAGCAGGGAAGGGGCGCCCGTGCGAGCGGAAAACCGAGTCGGGGGAGCTGGCCCGAGGGCGCTCCACAAAGCACCCGCAGCTGGAGAAGAAGCCACGGCTGACGCGCAGAGAGGCATATGGGAAGGGGCCCACCCCGCAGGCTTGGCTCTGACAGCGCATCGCTGAGGGGTGCTGCAGCCTCCCCTGAGCACGGGCCCCCCAGAGCACCAGCCAGACACATCGGGTTCGCACCCTCACGCCTTGCTGGACTCCGGGCGCGCCTCGACACTGCCACTGCCGCCGCCACACCCTCGTCAGGGCCACCGAAGCGGGCGACGGCGGCAGCGACAGGTGGCGGTGGCCGACGCGCCTAGACATGGCGGCGTGCAGGGCCAGGCTGCGAGGACTTCGATACCCTCCGAACCGCACGGAGGAGTAGCAGCAGCAGCAGGGAGGGGAAACGAAACCGACAGGGAGATCAAGGGGGCCGGGCTGCGCATAGACAGCACCCCCAATCCTGGCCGGCTGGCCTCAACAGGACCCCCGCGCAGTCACAGCCGGCCGCAGCAGGCCCCCCGAGCAGTCCAGGGCGGCCTCCCTGCCTCAGCTCGCTGGGACTGATCGGGGGGCCTGTTGATAGGGGGCGAACAAACCTACCTCGCTTTTGACCACCCTCGCTTCCAAGAGATACCAAAAGATGCCAAACTACGGCCTGTACTGGTCAGGCGACTTGACGAGGAGGCGCGTGGTATGACCTGCTTTTGCCTGGAAGCGAAAGCGGGGTAGGTAATTCACGCTCCGAGTTGAGGCCAGCCAGAGCTACCTGGGGTGGCTGTACGCGCGCAGCCCATAGCCGCACCTTGCTCGTCATCCCTGCTCCTCCTCCTCCACCCACCACCGCCGCGGCGACGAGAAGCCCCCGGGAGGTCCAGACAGGACGAGAGAGGCCCCCTTCCCCCCGTGCCTGCTGGCCGGACCCAGTACTGGGCCAGCACAGAGCCCCAGCCGCCTCCCACCTCCCTCCACCTCATCCTCCCCGCTCGCTCGCTCTCCCTCCTCGCCGTCCTCCTCTGGCTTCACGAGTCGCGAACGTATCCATATCCGCGCCCTCGCGGTCTGGATTTCGGGGCGCGATCGCGCGGATGCGCGGTCGCACGGACACGATCCGCGCGGGGCATGCGCGAAAAAACGCCCCGCATCCGCGGGGTCACGGCCCAGGCATCTGGCCGAGGCCCTGGATACGCATATGTTCGCGCCCACGACATCCACCTCGTCTGGGGAAACCAGAAAGGCACTGGTGCCCCTGCTCCCTGGACCTCTCCCGGGGCTCGTTCTGACCAGCATTTCGAAGCGAATCCAGCGGTGGTGACGAGGGCCTCCCAGAAGGCCCCCCCCCCCCAAAAAAAAACCAAAGCCAAGGAGCAGTGGAGGCGGTGTCGGCACCCTGTCCTCCTCTGACCCTCCTCCCCGCTCGTGCACTCCCTCCTCGGCGTCCTCTTCCGGCTCCCTGGGGCTCCCCCGAGGGCTCCCCGAGGCTCCCGGGGGGAGCGGGGCGCGGCCGCGTGGATGTAGGCGAACCCCGCGTCGTGCCCGAGCATCTCGGCGTAGACGGCGCGGATCATGTACTCCTGCAGGACACGCGAGCCGCCGCCCACCCCCCCTCCGCGCCAGCAGGCGTGAATGAGCTAATGCGAGCAGAGGGTCTCAGGAGCAGCGTTGAGGGGGGAGTAGCCTCAAGAGCAGACAGCTCCTCCTCCTCCTCCTCCTCCTCCTCCTCCTCCTCCTCCTCCTCCTCCTCCTCCTCCTCCTCCTCCTCATCCTCCTCCTCCTCCTCCTCCTCCTCTCCTCCTTCGCTCCTCCTCCCTCCTCCTCCTCCTCCTCCCTCCTCCTCCCTCCTCCTCCTCCTCCTCCTCCTCCTCCTCCTCTCTCCTCCTCCTCCTCCTCCTCCTCCTCCTCCCTTCCTCCTCCTCCTCCTCCTCCTCCTCCTCCTCCTCCTCCTCCTCCATGCGCGCCGAGGGTCTCAGGAGCAGCGTTGAGGGGGGAATGGCCTCGGATCCCCTCTGACCCAGCACACGGTGTGTTCGGCGCACGGCTGGAGGGCCCCCGACCTTCGGAGGCCCACAGCCAAACGGAAACTGGAGGCCCCAGAGGAGCCGTGGCTTCCGACGCCCTCGAGTCTCCGAGCAGAACTTCCGAGAGCCCCCGAGAGGCACCGCAGACCGCCCACAACCACGCCAATCTCCGCGGGCCTCCGGGGCTCCGAGAGCCGAGCGCCTCCCAAGGCCACCCGAGACCTCTGAGGACCACCGGACAGACCCTGAGGCCATGGCGTCTCCTTGTGTCTCGAGCCCGGCGTCTTCGCCCGGTCTTCGGGGGCCCGAGGGGCCGTCGCGGGTCGATGCGCGAGCTCGAAGAGGGCGCAGGACGATGGGGTCTGGGGCTGCGGCAGGTTCGTGTCGTGACGAGCCTGGCGCTGGTTTCTCACACCGCGTGGATCGTTCAACCTTGAACGATCGGCGGCGTTCCGATCGCCCGATCCTTCCATGTTGGCCGATTCTGGGCCACTGGCGGCGTTCACCCTTGGAACGCCCGCGGCGGGGTCGCCGCTGGTCGACACGACGCGAACCTGCCGTACGGCCGTGATTTCTCGCGACGTTGCAGTCGGTTCGCTGCGTCGAGTCTCAGGATGCTCGAACTGGGGACCCTCCTGGAGACGCTCGCCACACTCGTGCGCCGATGCTGCGTCGAGCGTCCGTCGCCTTGAGCCGACCTCGAGTCGAGCTTGAGTCAAACTGCAGTCGAGCTGCAGTCGAGCTAGAGCTGAACTACAGTGCGGGCGCGGCCGCAAGAGATCCTCGCAAGAACTCCAGCCCTGAAAACCCGCGCGCGAGGTGCACCTGAGGGAAAAACCGAGCATGCTGAAGGGAGCAGCTCCTTTGACGGCCGCGGGAAGCCGCCGCGCAGCGCGCGAAGCGAAGAAACCGAGGCTGCCCTGACGAAAAGCATATAGTTTCTTGATGCGTGTCCCCACGGCACAGCCGAGCAGATCCGCTGGGTGTCGGGTGCTGCCAGAAGTGCCCCTGGCCCAGGATGTCCCCAGGATGTCCGAGCAGGCCCCCACGGCCTCCGGAGCACCTCTCGCGAGGCCCAGAGGGCCCCAGGGGGTCCAAAGTTGAATAAAACTGTGGGCGCCTTGGGCCAGAGGTGAGGAGGGGGGGGGGAGGAGGAGGAGCAGGAGGAGGAGGAGGAGGAGGAGGAGGGGAGGAGGAGGAGGAAGGAGGAGGGAGGGGAGGAGGGGAGGAGGAGGAGCAGGAGGAGGAGGAGGAAGAGGAGGAGGAGGAGGGGGAGGGGGAGGAGGAGGAGGAGGAGGAGGAGGAGGAGGAGGAGGAGGGAGGAGAAGAGGAGAGGAGGAGGAGGAGGAGGAGGAGGAGGAGGAGGAGGAGGGAGGAGGAGGAGGAGGAGGCGAGGAGGAGGAGGAGGAGGAGGAGAAGAGGAAGGAGGAGGAGGGAGGAGAGGAGACGAGGAGGAGGGAGAGGAGGAGGAGGAGGAGGAGGAGGAGGAGGAGGAGACGAGGAGGAGGAGGAGGAGGAGGAGGAGGAGGAGGAGGAGGAGGAGGAGGAGGGGACGAGGAGGAGGACGAGGAGGAGAAGGAGGAGGAGGAGGAGGAGGAGGAGCGGGGCGGAGGGCGTCACGTTTCCCACGTGGGGCTCCCGCACCTCTGGCATCCCCCGAGGGTGGGGCCCCAGGCAGGCTCCCGGGACGAGCAGCCAAGCCAGGTGCCTCCGCCTGGCCCCCCGAAGGCGGCACCGGGCGAGGCCCCCGGAGGTGCCCCCCCGCGGGGCAGGACCCCCTTGACCAGAGGATCTGCTCATGCAGTGGAGGCCCATGCCAAGAGGCACACCCTGCTTGCCTCCAGGGTGCCCTGGGTTTCTGAGGATTCGATGGTTTTGCAATGGAGCGCGTGACGCTCCCACACCGAAAATCCATGGACGTCCTGGGGTCTCAGGGTCGGGTTTCTGGTGGAAGGTTTATTGTGGTCGGCCTCCAATGCAACGTGGACCCCCAAGGAGGTCTGGACGGGCCCCTTCCTGGGGACCAGCTTTTCGTCCGAGTCGTCTGTGATGGCCCCGAAGCCTGGCAGGGGCAGACCTGGAAGCCCAGAAATAGCAGCCATGACAGTCATTGTAAGACTGTTCGCTCTTATCCCCCCGCGTACCATTGAACACGTATACCTATACGACCACCCTTCGGGTGAGAAGATTAGAGGGCGGGGAAAGAACCAACTGCTGGCAACTGTGATGGGTGTGGTCGAACCACGGTCGATGTCACTGCCGCTCGCACGATCGATGCAATTACCGATCTCACCATCGACCTCACTATCGGTCCAACTATCGATATCACCACCGATCTCACCACATCTCGGTCGTTATCGATCTCACTATCGATCTCACGATCGATCGGAACACCATGGGAACACCACGGCAGGACACCGCGGGACACCGCGGGACACCACTGGACACTACCGGACACCGCGGGACACCACCGGGACACCAGGGGAGACCACGGGACACCAAGGGACACCAAGGGACACCAAGGGACACCACGAGACACGATCAGGACACCACGGGGAGACACTGCGGGACACCATGGGGACAACGCGGGACACCACGGCGGGACACCCCGAGCCAACGCGCGCACACTGGAGGGCAGGACTTTTGCATCCAAATCGCCCTAGGGACAGCGGGATCAGTACCCTCGCACGCCCACGGCGAGGCACTGCGAAACACCGTGGGGACACCGCGAGACATCCCAATCGCTCTAACGACGGCGGGATCCTTCCTCTCGCGCGCCCACGCAGCTTCGCCCCGCTCGCATGCACGACACGAAACCGAAACCGATTTCCCCGTGGGGGGCTCTCCGTTCCACTGCGATCTCACCCCTCAACCTCCGATCCCAAACCCTCGATACCCGCCCTCTACATCTTCAATCTCACCCCCCCTAGGGTGTATATATATATATATATATATATATATATATATGTCTTCCTTACCTGCCACGTGTATTTTGTGCAGCCCATGAAACATGGAAAGAGGGGGAGGGTGGAAGGAAGGGACAATGGAGAGTGAGAAGGATGAAGCACTAGAGAGATTAGCAGGATGGGGGTGAAGAGTTAGGAGCACAGAACAAGTGGCAGAACCAGACAGGCGGGTCGAAAAGGCGGGCCCAGGCGGCCCAGTCGAGCGGGCGGGTCACTGAAGCATCAGTGCGACATGAATCGCGACGAAGTCTTGAGGGATAGCGCGATTCCCAAATAAATCGCGTAGGAAGCCCAAAGCGAGAGCGTGATTCCTGAGTGTCGAAGGCGCGTTGTCTCAATAACTTGCGAAGAAGTCCCACGCGAGCGCGTGATGCCTGGATAAATCGTGACGAACTCCCGCGCGAGAGCGCGATGTTGAATAATGAACATGCCGGAGATATCAAGCGGGAGCCGTTGGTGCTGTAGTTGGGGGGGCCAGGGGCGCAGTCTGAGCCTGGACACCCTCCTAGTAAAAAACAATTTGCGAGCCCCAGGAAGGGCACCCGAATTGAAAAACACTCCAAGTGCACTGGGTGGGGGGGTCAAAAACCACTGGTCTGTAGAAAAAAAACATCTAGACAAAATCTTCCGTTGCAGTTTGTTCGCGACGCGAGTGGTTCATGGGGAGCCTCCGAGGCCCGCCAGCGAGCTCCCCCGAGCTCTGAGTTGCGGCCTGGTGTTCTGGAAGGGACCCAAGGGCTTGGCCGCCCACGCATCGCCCGCAGACCCGGGGGCATCGCGAACAAAGAACGACAGACGGCTTTGCCGCGCTTCCACCCGAGACCCCGGCGTCTCATTTTTGGCCGAGCCTGGCGATTTCGCCTGATTTCGGGGCCTGGGACCTTGACAGATCGATCCAGGCTCGAAGGATGGAGAGGAAAAAGACGGGGTCCAGGACTCTGGTCGTGATTCTTCAGGCTGTTGCAATTTGTCCGCCGCGTCGGAACCTGAGGGCCCACCTGGCCCAGGGGCCGTATAAGAATTGCTTGGGATTCAAAGCCTACCTTGGGGAAAGAGTCGAGATCCCCAGGGGCGCACGCCACGAAAGCAAAACATCGGCGCCGCAGGGGTACGCGGGCCGACACCCACAACTTACACCTCAAGGGCCTGCGCTCCTTCATCTTCTTCGGCGGGATAGCCGGCTGGCTCAGGTGCTGCGGCGGCACAGGCGACGTCGGAGGGGAAGGGGGGCATCGGGGGTCGGGAGGGGGGGGGGGGGGGCAGGGACGGGGATTGGGAAAGGGGAGGGGGGAAGGGGTAAATGGGAGAAGGAAACGGGAGGAGGAAAGGCTCTGGAGGGGACAGGTCACGGAGAGAGGGGCAGGACAAGGGAGGGGACGGGGAAGGGTGGGAGGGGGCGCCATCGCCAAGAGGCCCTCCAGGGGCGCGGGGCCAGCCATGACGTCTGGGGGTGGCGCGGAAGGGAAGATCGCCAGGAAGCGCAGGAGGAGAAGGGGAGCAGGGACTAGAAATGCGTGGGCTGGAAACTTGACGAAAGAAGGCATTGCGGCAATAAGAGATGGAGGGCTTTTCACTCATCAAAGATACCGGAGAAAAACCCAAATCAAAATCTTTAGGGCTGTAGAGCTATGGGGCTATATGGGATATAGGGCTATAGGGCTATAGGGTAATATAGCTACAGGGCTATAGGGAGGGCTATAGGGCTATAGGGTATAGGGCTATAGGGCTATAGAGCTATAGGGCTATACGGCTATAGGGCTATAGGGCTACTGAACTATGGGGCTATAGGGCTATAGAGCTATAGAGCTGCAGGGCTATAGGGCTACAGGGCTATTGGGCTATAGGGCTATAGGGCTATAGGGCTATAGGGCACCCCAGTGCACCTGGGCACCCCCGGGCACGCCCGGGCACCTGGGCACCCCCCGGGCACCCGGGCACCCGGGCGTGCGGCGAAAATCGGCGGCGAATCTAACCTAACCATATGAATCCGCTAGGACCCCTACAGAGGCAAGCTCTGATTGGGGAATAATACTTTCAACGCGCCAGCGCTTAAGCCAAACGGCGGCAGAACATCCGATTTGAGTCGGGATTGTGCAGGAGATCGAACAACTCTGGCGGAGACGCAGGACCGGAGGAAACAGAACCAGAACTGTCCAACACCAGGCACACTCTAGACTCAGCAGGAATACCCCGTCGCTGCCTGGCCTGACTGCGCGCACTATGGCGGGAGGCGGGCTCGCCCCTGTCGGGGAGCTCGCTCGCGCTCTTACGGGCGACACTAGAAGAACTCACACGAATTGACGCGGTGCGAGTTCGGTCAGACCATTTCCGCGCTTTTTGGTGACTCTGGGCCGCAGACAACAGAGTCTGGAAGCATGTCGCGAGAATCAGGGATGGCAGGTGGCCCCAGGGCCTGGTGGGGAGCCGAGATTGAAATGCGACGACGCCCTGACCCGGCACGATGGAGAAGGTGGGGGATGGAGGATGACCACGAGGAATGCGCACTCCCTTTCTGCACCATCGCCTCGGGATCGCCACCTCAGTCGTCCTGAGGCCGGGAGCCGCCGCGGCCCCACTGCATCTCCACCTCCTCGCTGCACGCGCGTGGGGCATCACTGCCTGGCGAGGACTGGCGGTCGTCGCCGCCGGCTGCCGCGCGCGCCGCGGCCGCGGCCGCGCGCGGGCGCTTGACCTTCTCGCCCCCGCGGCGAACCTTTTTTCTTGGGCTCGTCGCCGTCGGGCCTGATATGGTCCTTGCTCTCGTTCTTGCCCTTGCCCTTGCCTGTCGCGACTGCTGCTTGCCCGCGCGGGCAGATCGGCGCCGCGCTACCAGCGCGCCGCCACCACGCGCGCGGGAGTGACGGTCGCCACCCTGAGCCGCGGGCTGCGTCGCTGCCGCACGCCATCTCCCGGCCCCAGCGCCACTGTTGCTCGAGAGGACGCAACGGGGACCTCGACGGGGAGCGCCGCGGAGGCGTGGCCAGCACGCGCTCGACCCGCGGCGACGGGGAGCGCGGCGACCTCGGCGCCGGCCAGCGAGGGCAGCTCTTGCTGGCGGGTGGCCCTAGGGCTGCCTCGCCCGCGGGAAGGCTGCGCGACGGCGGCTGCGTGCCCGAGGCTGTCCCAGACGCTCCCTGTCGGGCTCGCGACTTTCCTGCCGGCGCTGGCATGATTGCCAGTGCTGGCGCCGGCGCCAGCGGTGCTTCGGCACCTTCAACTCCTGGAGAGACTCAGGGCTGATGCTTGCTCCCGTGGCCGTGTGGAGCTCGGTCATCAGGGTGGCTGAGCTTCCCACCGCGGCTTCGAGCGCGACGATGCCTTGCACCACGCGCTCAGCTAAGCGCCAGGGTCATACCTGTAGTGTCTTGGCGCGTTGGCTGCGTCGTCAGTTGACGTCGCGGTTACGGTTTCCGCTGCACCTCAGACCCCCGAAGGACGCGAGCAGATGTGGCGAGCTGGCAGTGACCAGCGACGGCTTCTTGGCAGGGAAGCACAGCATGCGTCGAATACAGCCGCCTCCACGCAAGGATGCGTGGATACCTGTCCCCACAGCGTTGCTGCACTGAGCCACGTTGGGGGGCTCGGTTGTTCGACAGTGAAGCATCGCCCCCTCGCGTATCTGCGCCATCGCAACCTGTCCTCAGAAGGAGACGCGCGGCGCATCTTCCTCGTGCGGGGTGAGCTCGCGGTTAATGCGGTAGCTGAGGCCACTGGGCAGACCGCTACTGCGACGCGACGGCGCCATGACCACCACCAGTACGCTGTGGCGCTGTAGGAAGCACTTTTTGGACGGTGGGCTCGCGCCGATCACAGCCAACTGTCAGGTCGAAATTGTCGCCAGTCTCGAGTTGCCGTCGAATGGCGATCTGCGAGTCGCGGTCAACCCCGCCGCACAGCTCTCATAGGTTCGCGCTGGGCCCCACGGCTCAGACCGTGGCCAGGGCACGTTCTGCTGTTGTGGCTTGGTAGGTACACGCCGGGGGCGCTGCACGGTAGCCAACTATGGCCCCTGCCGCACACGATTCGGGCAAGTGCCCACCTACTGCGGGGCCCCCAGGCGCGTTCGAGAGCGGCGCCCGGGAACAGCCAGGCGAGCTGCCCTTCCGCGCCAAGCCCAGAAAAGTCGTCACCAAAGTCGTCGACGTGATTTACTTCCTTCTGACGCTTAACCGGCACACGACCTCGTTCTGTGCGCAATTTGGTGTATAGCAGGCTTTTCACTCATCAATACACGTTTAGTACGCGTCCGCGCTTAAGCCAAACGGCGGCAGAGCACCCTATTTGAGTCAGGGGGGGAGGAGGAAGAGGGAAGGTGGGGGGAGAGGAGAGGAGAGGAGAGGAGAGGTGAGGAGAGGAGAGGAGAGGAGAGGAGAGGAGAGGAGAGGAGAGGAGAGGAGAGGGGCAGCTACAAGACGTAGTCAATATTCCTAACCGCCACGTAGACCGCAAGCGACCGCGAGAAAGATGCCATCTTGCCTCTGAAGTAGCGAGGACGAAGTTCACCAGTAGCACCACCCCCGCGACGACAGTGAAAAGGAAAGACCAGGCCGACACTTGCGGCAGTGACTCCGTGCACCACATTTCCAGCAAGCGATACGTCAACGGCCACCCGAAGCCAACCCCGCCGCAGCGGGCGATGCTCCTTTGTCGGCTACGAGGACGGCGGGGAATCCAGACGAGTGCCACGACTTGCACGGAAGCCGCGGGCGCCCAGCCCGCCTCGCAGACAGCCTGAGCACGACAGCGGAACCTGGCAACAGCCGAAGTATGCCCCTCGAAGCGAAAACCAAAAAGCCGCCAAGCGAATACATTGAAGTACACCCAGGGGGAGTTGGAGGAGGAGGAAGAGGAGGAAAGGAGAACCAAAGGAAAGGAGGAAGAAGAAAGGGAGGGAAGGAGGGAGGACGAAGAGAGGAGGAAAGGTAGCAACCATGAGAAGGAAAAGAGGAGGACCACCACCACCGCCAACAACACCAACACCACGACAACCACGCGACCACGACGACCATGAGGCCAACAACAACGACTACAACGACCACCACACCACCACAACAACCAGCGCCACAACGACGACGGCCACCATGGTAGGATAGGCTGCCTGCTTCAGGACCGCGATTTCATTTACGATGATCTTGTCCTCCTCCTGCTTCGAGCGGGATTCGCCAATTGCCTTGACGAGCTCGAAGAACTCCTCTGGGTGCGCGGAGGAGTGGAGACGAAAGGGCGGACAGGAAGCGCGACGATAAATTGGACATGGGGGAGGGAGGCAGAGGAGCGAGGGGGAGAAGTGGGAGGGAGGGGGATCACGGAAGCGGAGAGGGGGAAACAGATGTGGAGGAGGATGAGGCGTATGTCCCGACTCCTCCACCTCCTCCTCCTCCTCCTTCCTCTTCCAGCTCGCATCAGCATCAGCATCAACATCACAATCATCATATTCATCATAATCATCATCACCATCAGCATCAGCATCATCATCATCATCATCATCATCATCATCATCATCATCATCATCATCATCATCATAATCATCATCAGCATGATCATGATCATGATCATCAGCAGCAGCATCATCCGGAGCAGCATCATCAGCATCAACATCGTCAGTATCATCATCAGCCCGAGCATCATCCTCATCAGCATCATCAGCATCATCACCAGCAACACCATCATCATCAGTGCCAGCATCGACATCGACAAAATAACAGTAATCATCAGCATCGACATCATCATTAACATCGTCATCGGCAGCAGCAGTATCAGCATCATCACCATCATCGTCAACATCATCATCATCATCATCATCATCATCATCATCATCATCATCATCACCATCATCATCATCATCATCAGCAGCACCATCTTCTTCATCATCATCATCATCATCATCATCATCATCATCATGAGCATCATCATCATCATCATCATCATCAGCAGCAGCACCCGCATCATCACCAGCATCATCAGCATCATCAGAAACATCAGCAACATAATCAGCCTGATCATCAGCAGCAACATCATCCGCAGCAGCATCATCAGCATCATCATCACCATCGTCATCAACAACCAGCATCAACAGCATCCAGATCCTCATTAGCAGCGGCATCAGAATCAGCACCAGCATCATCATCATCATCATCAGCATCATCAGCATCAGCATCAGCATCAGCAGCATCATCAGCATCAGCAGCATCATCATCAGTACCATCAGCACTATCATCATCAGCATGAGCATCACCAGCATCATCATCACCATCACAATCACCATCTCCATCACCATCTGCCTCAACAGAATAAGCATCATCATCATCACCAGCATCATGATCGTCTTCGGCATCACTAACAGCATCATCATCATCAGCAGCATCAGCATCATCATCATCATCCACAGCATCAGCATCAAATACGGCATCAGCATCGTCATCATCGGCATCAGCATCATCATGATCATCATCATCATCACCACCACCATCAGCATCATCATCATCATCAGCAGCAGCATCATCATCAGCAACAGCATCAGCAGAATCAGCATCCTCATTATCATCAGTATCATCAGCAGCATCCTCACCGTCATCACCAGCATAAACATCATCATCATCACCATCATCATCATCATCATCATCATCATCATCATCATCATCATCATCATCAACAGCATCGACATCATCATCATCAGCATCATCAGCATCAGCAACAACAACAGCACCATCATCATCATCAGCATCGTCATCAGAATCATCATCATCAGCATCATCATCATCGGCGTCATCATCATCATCAACAACAACAAAATCAGCATCAGCCGCATCAGCATCATCATCGTCATCATCATCCTGAGCAGCATCAGCCTGTGCATCATTATCATCATCAGCAGCAGCCATTAGCCTCATCATCGTCATCATCATCATCATCATCATCATCATCATCATCATCATCGTCATCATCAGCATCAGCATCATCATCATCATCATCATCATCATCATCATCATCATCATCATCGTCAGCATCATCATCATCATCATCATCATCCTCCTCATCATCATCATCATCATCATCGTATTAGCATCCTCGTGGTCATCATCATCATCAGCATCATCATCATCATCATCATCATCATCAGTATCATCATCATCATCATCATCATCATCAACCCCACCAGCATCATCATCAGCATCATCATGATCACCAGCAACAGCATGATTATCATGTTCATCATCACCATCATCACCACAATCAGCATCATCATCATCACCATCATCATAAGCAGCATGATCATTAACACGACCACCACCACCACCACCCCAGCCACCCCCCCGTAATAAAAAACAGCATCATAATCCTCATCAGCATCATCGTGAAAATCATCGTCAGCAGCATCAGCATCATCGTCATCATCATCGTGATCAGCATCATCATCAGGATCATCCTCATCAGCATCAGCCTCAGCATCATCATCATCAGCAGCAGCAGAACCATCATCCGCATCATCACACCATCATCATCATCATCATCATCATCATCATCAGCGGCATCATCAGCAGCATCAGCATCAGCATCATCAGAATTGTCAGCAACAGCATCAGTATCATCGACATCACCATCACCATCATCATCAGCAGCATCATCGTTAACACGACCACCACCATCACCACCCCACCCCAGCCCGCCCCCCCGCAATAATCATCATCATCATCATCATCAACAACAGCATCTCTACATCATCATCATCATCATCATCATCATCATCATCATCATCATCAGCATCATCATCATCAGCAGCAGCAGCATCAGCAGCAGCAGCTGCATCGACATCAGCATCCTCATCAGCATCATCCTCGCTCTTCATTTCATCCTCCTTCCCCGCTTCCTCCGCACCAACCCCCTCCTCCTCCCCCTCCTCACAGACATCGTCCATCTCCCCCTCCTCTATACCGTGTCCTTTCAGAAACCTCTCCGTCGCATCACCAGACGGGTCAGTATGGTGTCGCCCGAAACTTCCGAACCACGTATGACCCCGAAGCTTGACAGTTCCATTGTTTATAAGGATTGAGGGCGAATCCTGTACAGGATTGATCTCTCGCCTCAGCGCCGAGCAGGCTCGCCTTTCAAATGGACATCGCGTCTCAGCGCCGCACGGACTCGCCACGAACGCTTGCGACAGGACACATCGAGGGCGGCTCATTTTCGGAATAGGGTTCTCGCCTTCGCGCCACCTATGTGCATAATAAAGCACTGCAAAACCTGCGATGATGGACGACGACTCCTTGTCAAAACGGGTGCCCTTGCTGGACACTTCGTTTACCTGCCTGTCCCTGCCGATTCGTGGTCCTCAAACTCGCTGAGACTGTGTAAGGCGGCTCCGTGTCTATACGGGGCTCTCGCCTGAATGGCAGGCTCCTAGGGCGTTCATCTTTCCGGGGGGTGCTTCCTCGAATGAAACCGCACACTTTCGAGTACTTGTGAAGGGGGGGGCCTGGGACGGGAGGGTGTATTGCAGCATCGTTAGCGAAACCTGGGCTTACTCGTGTCATCCCCCTCCCCCTTCCCCTCCCTCCTCCTCCTCCTCCTCCTCCTCCTCATCTTCCTCCTCGCTCCCTCCCCCCGCCTCCCTCCTCCATCCTGTTACCTTCCTTCCCTGCCTCGTCCTCCCTCCTCCCCCTATGCCTCGGATGCCTAAAACCCGCCAAGGAGAGTTCGTGCTTACACGACCAGGGATTCGAATCCCGCGGGCGCCCACAGAACAAGGAGAAGAGCTGGGAGAGCAGGGAGCCGCGAAGGCAGCCCCAGGAGAAGCGCCCCGGGAGAAGCGAGCGGGGGCGGGGGGGGGGAGGGAGAGGAGAGAGAGAGAGCAGGAGCAAGAGGGCAGGAGCAGGGAAGAGGGCGAGGAGGGGGGGGGGAGGAGGAGGAGGCGAGGAGGAGGAGGAGGAGGAGGGGGGGGGGGAGGAGGCGAGGAGGAGGCGAGGAGGAGGGGGGGGGGGAGGAGGAGGAGAGGGAAGAGGGCGAGGAGGAGGGCGAGGAAAGGAGGGGGAGCGGGAGAGGGAGGGGGGGGGGCGTAGTGATGGATGGTACGATGGTACCCGTATGGGCGGGCCTCCTCACTGAAAGAGTCTGCCGTCGCGGCAGTCTTCCGAGACGGACTGCTCCGTGGCCCGCCTCTCTGGCAGAACACTCACCCCTTCGGGAGCGCGGGCCCCAGCAGACCAAGACAGGCCGGCGCGGGGACCTGGGACGGAAAGCAGGGTGGTCTCTTGCAAATGCAGGGCAGAAAGGAACAAGGGAAGACGAGGAGGGGAAGCATCTCTACGGTGCCGTCCTGTCACTTTGCGGCTTATTGTGACGGGTTTTCACATGTGACTGCTGTTACTGGGGCCACGTCGCCAAAGTCTGGCTTGTTCTGTTTCGTTCCGCCTCGCAGACGTCACAGCAATTTTGTGCCTTAGTCAGGGCAGCGAAGAGGAGGGGGGGAAGGAAGAGTGCAGCGCGGACGCACTGAAGAACGGCACCAAAGCTTCAGCCCAAGATATCACCGCGCTGCCTCGCGGACCCTGACAAGCGGGCCTGGCAGAAGGATGAGGAAATCCTGCTGCTGCTGCCTCTCCTCCTCCTCCTCCTCCTCCTCCTCCTCCTCCTCTTCCTCCTCCTCCTCACCCTCCTCCTCCTCCTCATCCTCCTCCTCGTCATCATCATCGTCATCATCAGCAGCATCATCATCATCAGCAGCAGCAGCATCAGCATCATCATCAGCATCATCGTCAGCATCATCATCCTCATCAGAATCAGAATCATCATAATCATCATAATCATCATCATCATCATTGTCATGATCCACATCGTCATGATCAGCAGCATCATCACCATTGCCATCATCAGCAGCATCAGCCTCAGCATCATCATCAGCAGCATCTTCAGCATCGTCATCGTCATCGCCATCATCATCAGCAGCATCAGCGATATCATCATCATTATTAGCATCAGCATCATCATCATCATCATCATCATCATCATCATCATGATCATCATCATCATCATCATCATCATCATCATCATCATCATCATCATCATCATCATCATCATCGTCATCGTCATCGTCATCGTCATCGTCATCGTCATCAGCATCCTCATCATCATCACAATCAGCATGCTCATCATCATCAGCAGCAACACTATCATCAGCAACAGCAACATGATCGTCATCACCACCATCACCACCACCACCAACCATCACCACCATCATCGACATCAGTGTCATCACTTTCATCGTCAGCAACAGCAGCCGAAGCAGCTGTATCGGCAGCATCCTCACACACGCCGGCAACAGCATCATCATTATTGTTTTCGCCACCGTCTGAAATCAGCAGCAGCACAACCATCGTCAACATCATCAGCCAGGTGGTCGGCATCGCCTCCTTAACAATGATAACCAGCATCATCAGCCGTATCAGCATCAACATCATCATCATCATCATCATCATCATCAGCATCATCATCATCAGCATCATCATCATTATCATCATCGTCATCATCATCATCATCAGCATCATCACCATCGTCATCACCATCATCATCAGCAGCATCATCATTGTTATCAGCATCGGCATGATCATCATCAGCAGCAGCAAGGTCAAGCAGTACAACAACCATCATCCTCATTGTCAGCAGCAGTATCATCATCGGCAGCAGCATCCTCCTCATCGGCATCGGCATCATCAACAGCATCTTCATGATCATCACAGTCATCAAGAGAGCGTGATCCACCGCAGCTTTACTGTGAAAAATTGCCACCCTTCTTCCTCCGGAACCTGGGGTCCTCCCCCCCACCCCCTCCGAAAATCCCCCCCCCCCTCCCCTCCCCTGGCAAAACCCCCCCCCTCCCCTAACCAACCCCCCCCTCTGGAAAACCGGGGGGGTCACTACCGGTTCGACCCCCCCCCCTCGAAAACCGGAGGGGGGGGGTCACTGCCAGTTCGAACCCCTCCCCACACCCACCTCACCGCCAGCAAACGACTCCTGGGCCCTACCACCGTCCGCACCACATCCCCCACTGTTGTTCCCAGCACCGCTGTCCCTCACCACCACTGTCCCCACTGGTTCCACCACCTTCCCTACTGTCCCCACCAGTGCCCCCCACCACTGTCGCTCTGTCCCCACTGTCCCCACCACTGTTCCCACCACGGTTCCACTCTCCCCACTTTCTCCACGGCCCCAACGACTGCCCGACTATCCCCACTGTCCCACTGACTCCTCCGCTGTCCCACTGAGCTGTCCCACTGTTCCCACCACTGTCCCCACTGTCCCCACCAGTGTCCCCACTGTACCTCTGTCTCATTGTCCCACCGCCGTCCTCGCCACCGCCTTCACCACTGTCCCCACCACCACGGTGCCTTCCACTGCCCCACTTTCTCCACCACATTCCCACTGTCCTCACATCACTGTCCCCACCACCACCGTCCCCACCACTGTCCCACAGTCCCCACTGTTCCCACCATTGTCCTCACCACTGTCCCCACCATTGTCCTCACCACTGTCCCCACCACTACCGTGCCCACCACTGTCCCACTGTCCCCACCACTGTCCCGCTGTCCCCTTACCACTGTCCCCACCACCACCGTCCCCACCACTGTCCGCACCCCCCCCCGGTTTTCGAAGGGGGGGGGGGTTCGAACCGGTAGTGACCCCCCCCGGTTTTCGGAGGGGGGGGGGTCGAACCGGTAGTGACCCCCCCCCCTTTTCATAATGGACTGGGGGGGGGGAAGGGTTCGAACCGGTAGTGACCCCCCCCAGTTTTCCAGAGGGGGGGGGGGGAGTGGATCGAACCGGTAGTGACCCCCCCCTGTTTTCCGCCAGCAGCGGTAGAACACGCTCTTTCCAATCATCATAATCATCGGCAATAGCATCATCACTAGCATCATCGTCATCATCATCAACACCACCACCATCCTCTTCAGCATCATCGCCATCATAATCACAAGTATCGTCATAATCATCATCATCATCATCATCATCATCATCATCATCATCATCATCATCAGCAGCAGCAGCAGCAGCATCATGATCACCATCATCATCATCTTTAGCATCATTATCATCGTCGTCATCGTCATCGTCATCAGCATCATCGTCGTCGTTGTCGTCGTCACCACTCGCATCATCATCATCATCATCATCATCATCATCATCATCATCATCATCATCATCATCATCATCATCATCATCATCATCATCATCATCATCATCATCGGCAGCAGCATCACCATCACCATCACCACCATCATCGTTATCATAATCCTCACCCTCGTCATCAGCATCACCATTATCATCAGAATCGTCATCGCTATTATCATGATTAGGCTCGGCATCCTCATCATCATCATCATCATCATCAGCAGCATCATCCTCATCACCATCATCACCATCATCATCAGCAGTGTCATCATCATCATCATCCTCCTCCTCCTCCTCCTCCTCGTCGTCAGCGTCATTGTCATCGTCACCGTCTGTCGTCATCGTCATCAGCTGCCTCATCACCACACTCGTTGCCATCACCACCACCATCATCACCACATTTAAGAAATATTACCATCGTAATCGTCGTCATTGTGGCTCCTCCCCTTCATCGCTCTGCATAAACCTCCCGAATCTCCCGAGCACGTCCGCAAGACTGACAAACACCTCGGGAAAACTCGCCCACGTCCTCCGTCCCTGAAGGGGCCATGAGACGCACAAATATAAATACACACAAACAAGGGGATTCCCCATAGTTTCCCATACCTTCCGGGTGTTTGTCTTCCCCCCACTTCCTAGATGTTCCCATATGTTCCTGGGAGTCGACGATCAATTGTGTCTGTGTGTTCTTGTTCCCTCCTGAGTTAAGGGAACACCAGCGCAGGGAGAGCAGCACCGCGCCGAGTCATCGCCGGCAGATCGGCGCGACAGTCCCCCGATGGCGAGGAACCGCACGTGCCCGGGCGGGGCGGGCCCCGCCGGCGAGGAACGGGCGATCGGGAGTCGAGGAAGCCTCCAACTGAGCCTGTCCCCCCCTCACGTTACGTCGGGCCTGTCCACGTGAAGTGAGCCTGTCCCCCCCTCAACCCCTACAGGGGGATTTCCAACGAAACATAAGAAATACCCCCAAAATAAGAAAAGCATTGTCCAAAACTAGTCTGGGGACTATTGCTTGAATACTTGTTGACCATGTTGGGGTATGTTGGGGGGTAATTTTTTCGTAGAAAATCCCCCTGTAGGGGGACAGGCCCGACGTAACCCTAAAGTTGCCCTCGACCTCCCTCCCACTCCCCTCCCCATCATGGCCGACCACGGCGACGGCGCTGGGGTCCCTGTTGTTCCCCGTCGTCGTTCTCATCCTTCTTATTCTCCTCCTCCTCCCCCTCCTCGGCGACGGCGCTCCTCCTCGTGCCCAACCCCCCACCGGCGACGACGTCGTCCGTCCTGCCACTCGACAACGACGAAAATGACGAGGACGACGGCGGCGGCGACGACGAAAACGACGACGAAGACGTCCTTGCTCAGGTGACCTCCGCTCATGGCTGCAAGAAGCTTGGCGCCAGGCCGCCCCTGCCGCCTTGCGCGCCAGGAGGATCGAAGCGGCAGGGGAGACAGAGGGGCAGACCAAGGGAGAATGAGAATGAGAATGTCAGAGCACTCATGACAGACATACCTTGCGCCTTGGAGGGGGAGCCTCACAGAGATCCCAGTCGGACCTCCGCCTTGGCCGTACTTCGGACTCTGGGCCAGGCGAGCAGAAACGAGGGAGGGAGAAGGGAGCAGAGAGGCTTGTTGGTTGGACTCGAGCCTGGCGCTCGCACGCCGTGCCTGGAGCAGAGGGATCGTGGAGGCGGCGAGGAGGAGCGGGGAGGAAGCGGGAAGGAGGGAGGAGGGGGGGCGAGGGCGGGGAGGAGGAGGGGACGGAGGACAGGGGACCGAGGAAGGAGGGCGGAGGGAGAATGGCCAGGAGGGGGAGGGAGGAGGGAGGGAAGAGCGAGGAGTGATGAGGCAGGAGGAAGGAGGGAGGACGGAGGACAGAGGACGGAGGACGGAGAACGGAGACAAGGAGGGAGAAGGGGGAAGGCTTTGTCATCAGAACAAGGGAGGAAAACGGCCTTCCAAGTGGGATTCAGCGGTGCGGATTGTCTGTATTCTAGATGTTGAGGTGACTGCTGTTATCGTCGCCCGCCCCACGACCCCCCCCCCGACCCATCCGCGACCCATCCCGCGACCCACCCCGCGACCTACCCTCGACCTGCCGGCCACTCACCTGCGATCAACCCGCGACCCACGGGCGACCAACGCACGACCCACCCTCGATCCACACCTACGACCCCAACCCACCACCCACCCAAAACAAACAAATCAAAAACGCCACTTGCAGCGGGCTGGTTGTGCAACATCAGATGGGCGCGTGCGGCGGGTACCTGTACATGGAATTCCCATGTTCGCGAACTGCCAACGACCCGCCCGCGACCCACCCACGCTGTTTTGCACCCAGATCACCGCCTGCGGCGGCCTGACTGGTCCGAGAAACATGCCCCCGCGGCGGGTCTTTTCATCGGCGCCCGAGCCCCACAGCCCAGGCAGGCCAGCTCTGGCAGGGCTTGTCCGCCATTGCGGGGCCCCCACGTTGCCTGCAGAGGGTGGGTCAAATACTTTTAAATCGGGCATGTCCCCCTACAGGCGGATTTTGGACGAAAAACGAAAAGTAGTCACAAAGTACCCCAAAAATGCCCAAACATAACAGAAAACAAAACATTCCCCGACTTGTGTTTGCATATGTTTGAATACTCCTCCTGTAGACTGGGCGTTTTCTTAGGGTGGAAGGCTCAGGGTGAAATCCATATGGGCTTTTGCAACTCGAGAATCAATCCGTTCTGTCGCTCGCTTTTTGCAGATTCAAGCGTCGAAGTCACCGTCTTGGGGCCCTCTTGGGCCGTCTTGGGCGCCTCTTGGGCAGTCTTGGGGCCCTCTTGGGCCTTTTTGTGGGCCTCTTGGGAGCCTCTTGGGCCGTCTTGGGGCGGTCTTGGGGGCCTCTTGGGCCGTCGTCAACCCCATGAAAGCCGAGAAGCCGCATTTGCTAAACAGGTGCGTTTTCCTATGGGATATCAATGATTTTGGCCTCCTGGGGCCTCTTGGGGGGCCTCTTGGAGGCATCTTGGAGGCCTCTTGGGGCCTCCTGGGAGCTTTTTGGGGCGAAAGGCTAGACTTTTCGGTCGTGGTCCCCCTCTTGGGGCAGTCTTGGGGCCCTATTGGGCCGTCTTGGGCGCCTCTTGCTGGGCCGTCTTGGGGCCCTCTCGGGCCGTTTGGGGTGCCTCTTGGGAGCCTCTTGGGCCCTCCTGGGGCGGTTTGGGCGGCCTCTTGGGCCGTCGACGACGCCGTGGAGGCCGAAAAGTCGCATGTTTTCTTTATGTTCAAGAAAATCAATGATTTTAGCCTCTTGGGGCCCTCTTGGGACGCCCCTTGGGCGCCTCTTAGGGCGTCTTGGAGGCCTCTTGGGCCGTCTTGGGCGGTCTTGGGCTCTCTTGGAGCGCTCTTGGGCCGTCTTGGAGATATCTTGGGCCTTTTTGGGCGCCTCTGACGGTCCAGGAAGCGCCCAAGAGGCCTCCAAGACGCCCCGAGCGGCCATTAGACCGCATACCCCCGCCCCTCCCCCCTCCCCTGGACCCTCCCTAGAGGGCTTCGCCCAAACACAACGTCATCACTCGTACCTCGCTCTTTCCGTTACCTGCTTGGCATAGGGACGGAGAGCGCGGGTTCTTTCTGTGAGAGCGCGAGGTCGCTGGCTAATGTCTTGCGCTGGACCCCCTCCCTGCCGCGCAGAGCGCGCCAGGGGCAGCGCCAGAGGCGCCGCTGGGAGGGCCCAGTGCGGATCCAAGAAATCCGCCCGGAGCGCCAAAAATTATGGTAATGCCTTGTTTTCTTCGGTGTGCATATATATATATATATATATATACATACATACATACATACATACATACATACATACATACATACATACATACATACATACATACATACACACATATATATATATATATATATATATATGTGCACTGCTCCCCCCTGGGCCAATCGCCTCCCCCGTCGCCTCCGAAGACCTCGCGCAGATCCCGGCTGCCGCTCCTCTAGGGGAACGAAGAATGACAGAACATGAAAACTCGGAGGCCCGCGCGGATTTCTTGGATCGGCGCTGGACCCCCCTGCCTGGCGCGCGGAGCGCGCCAGGGGCGGCGCCAGAGGCGCCGCCGGGGGGCCCAGCGCGGATCCGAGAAATCCGCGCGGACCTCCGAGTCTTCCTGCTTGCGTATGTCAGTCTTCGTGCCCCGATCCCTCCCCCCCCCGGCGGAGGGCGCCCGCGCCGCGCGGCCTGGGGCCTCGCGCGCGGTCGGCGGCGGCCCCCGCGCGCCACCGCCGGCAGCGGCCGCGGGCTGCCCCCCTCGGGGGCCCCGGCGCCTGGCGCGGCGGCGCCGCCCCTCGAGGCTCCAGGGCCCAGGCTCGGGGCTCGGGGCCCGAGGCCCGGGGCCCGGGGCTCGAGGCTCGAAGCTCGAGGCCGGGGGCTCGAGGCCCGAGGAGCGAGGCCCGAGGAGCGAGGCTCGGGGCTCGAGGCTCGGGGGCCCGAGGCCCGAGGAGCGGGGCTCCGAGTCTCCCTCGCATCGTGGTCGGGTCGGTCGTCGTGGGCGCGGTGGTGGTGGCGGCTCGGTCCCATAGCGCCTGGCGCGAGGGCGCCGGACCCTCGAGGATCAAGGATCGCTGAGGTCCGCGCGCTGCCGTCGTTTCACGCCCGACGCTTTCGCGTGACGGCGGGCCCCGCCATGACAGGCCGATGCGGCTCGACGAGTGCCGCAGGAAGACGGAGTCCAGAGCTCCAGGTCGTGGTGTTGTTTCGCGATGCTGCGCTATGCTCGTGACGTCGGATCTCGGGGGAGCATCGAGGATCCCAGGCCCCCTCGCGTCGTGGTCGTCGAGGCGGCCGTGGTCGTCGTGGTGGCGTTGGTCGTCGTCGTCGCCGTGACGGTGGTGGTGCTCGACCCTCTGACCCTGGAGGCCTCGAGGACCCTGCAGCGCCTGGCGCGGCGGCGCCGCCAGACTCCTCGACCTCTCGGGGATCCTCCCAGAGCCCGTCACGCCGTGGCAAAAAGCACGGCGGAGCGTCGGGGGCTACCATCCTTCGGGCCCGTCTGGGAGCGGCTCGGGAGGAACAGCAGCGGCCCCCGGGAAGGGGCCCAGACCTCTGGGGGTCCGCGTCGGAGGCTTGGGATGGAGGAGGCCCTGGGGGGGGGCTCCTTGGAAGTCCTGGGGGGGCACCTTCGCTGCGGAGGAGGCATCCGCAGCTCCGAGGAGCTCTCTGAGCCTCCTCCGCAGCCCCGCCGCCGTCTGGGAAGGCCTGCCCCCGCTTCCCCCCTCGGCGCGCCCCCGCGGCACCAGCCACGTCGCAGGTCTGGGCTCAAGGATCGACGCTTCTCCTCGACCATCGAGGCTCGGGGATCGAGGATCGACGCCCTGGGGCGCCTCTTTTGCGCTCCTGGGGCCTCTGGAAGCCTGTGGGCATCCTAGCTCCTGGCGCAGCGGCGCCGACGGACTCCTCGACCTCGCGAGGATCGAGGATCGGGGATCGAGGATCGCCGGCGCTCGACGGCGTTCGAGGGTCATGTTTGGCAGACTCGTTCGGACGCCCTGCCCGGCAACCCGCAACGGGCCAATGGGCCTCCAGGAGGGCCCCAACGACGATTCCCAGCAGCCCCGTGGCGGCCCGAGGGACACCAAGAACAACCCAAGAGGACCCCGAGACCGGCTGGGAGCCCACGACAGCCCACGACCACCCCCAGAGTGACTGCCTACCAGACCACCCCAACACAACCCGAAGACCAGAGTTTCGGGTTGGGGGGGAGTACGGGTTCCATGTGTATTTTTCCCATGTTCCCCGACCCCCCCCCTTGAAGTTCTGGTCAGGACGCGCCCTCAAGACCGCCTAAAATGGCCCCATAACGGCCCAACACGGGCTCCACCCAGCCTGGCCCCAGTGCAGCCCTCAACGCGCCGCGGACGGCCCAGGAGGGCCTCCCGAGGCTCAGCAGCAGGTCCAGGACGGCTCCAAAAGGACCACGCGCAGCGCCCCCCCCCCTCACGGTCACGCTTCCTTGCAAGCACTGGCCCCTGCGAGCAGCGTTTGTGCGCCCAGGACGTTTTCCTACGAAACACCCAGCGGTCGGTGGTTGTGGCATAAGCCTGTAGCATTATCACGGCGGTCATCGTCATCATCATCATCATCATCATCATCATCATCATCATCATCATCATCATCATCATCATCATCATCATCATCATCATCATCATCACCATCACCATCGCCATCACCATCGCCATCACCATCATCATTATCATCACCACCATCATCATCATCAGCATCATCAGCAGCAGCATCAGCATCATCATCACGACCATCATCATCATCATCATCATCATCATCATCATCATCATCATCATCATCATCATCATCATCACCATCACCATCGCCATCACCATCGCCATCATCACCATCAC